GAGCATCAGGGCATCGGCTTCCTGAACGACCCGCGGCGCCTCAATGTGGCGCTGACCAGAGCAAAGTGAGTCGCCAAGTTACTGTTCAAGTTTCTATAGCAAATATCACAGTACACATGGAATAAGACAAAATTAAGCAACTTTCCAACAAGAAATAGGAGCTTGATTTAAGTCAGTAATTTCTTAATATTGTTGGATAAAGAATGTCGGTGTACCAGTTCCATTCACAGATTATTTTACGTATAGCCAGATATTTTTCTCATGCTAAAAGTGAAATAATTTGCCAGTAGAACTAATACATTTTCATCAATATTAAGGAATTATTGGCTTAAAAGAAACTCCTATACATATAATTTAGTTTCTTATTTCAAGATATTTTGTGTAGAAACTAGACAAGAAATACTTTAAGATGTTGTAGTTTTGCAGAGCGCGACTGAAAACATAAATAAACTGAATTATGATGCCTGTAAACAAAATTACCCTTTAAAAAATTATTAGTAACCAATATGGAAACTATCGTTCCAGTTGATTAAAATATGGATTTATTTTTTTATTTGACAGCGGCCGAATCTCTGATTCATATCTTTGAATATTTTGATCTCTGGATTAAATTATTAATAATCTTGTGTTTATAAATTCAAGATGACCCTTTTATTGTTTTTCATCTAAACCAAGTCGTCCAGTATTAGTTTTAGTTAAAATGTGTTTAAGGTACGGCGTGATCATCGTGGGGAACCCCAAGGCGCTGTCCAAGCAGCCGCTGTGGAACAACCTGCTGAACTACTACAAGGAGCAGAAGGTTCTGGTGGAGGGCCCGCTCAACAACCTCAGAGAGAGCCTCATGCAGTTCAGCAAGCCTCGCAAGCTGGTCAACACCATCAACCCGGTCCGTAACTTATCCACCTGAAGGTTTCCCTCTGGTTTCAGTGAGCTAATGTTGCTGTGAATGTTAGGGGGGACGTTTCATGAGCACCGCCATGTACGACGCCCGCGAGGCGCTCATCCCGGGCTCCGCCTACGACCGCAGCAGCGCCGGTACCTATCTAAAACCACAGGCCGTTTCTGCCGTCGTCTGCGTTTGTCCTGGACTGATGTGCTGAATTCTGTTCCAGCTGGACGTCCGTCCAACATGTACTTCCAAACTCACGATCAGATCGGGATGATCGGAACCGGGCCGGGTCAGATGGCGGCCATGAACATCCCCATACCCTTCAACCTGGTGATGCCCCCGATGCCTCCGCCCAGCTATCTGGGTCAGACCAACGGCCCGGCTGCAGGTACTCGGAGCGTCTTCTCTCTCTGTGCTTAGCTTGGTGTGTGACTTCTCGCTCTTTAAACGAGACACTGGCTGTGTCTTGTTAGCGGCCTGCAGCAGCGTCTGCAGGCCGCTGCAGCTAGAGAGGAAAACATGGAAACTTCTGGAGGATTTTTTCCAGCCTTATGATGATCATTTATTTGGATACTTGGTTTTGTAGATTTTATTTTTTTCTCACCTCTGTGTCTCTTCCTCCGTCTTCAGGCCGCGGTGCCATGAAGGGTAAACCTGGCCGGGGGGGAAGGCAGCGGGTCCGCGGCTCGGCTCACCAGGGCAACGGGCCCAACAGCCAGGCCAGCCAGGACGGGGCTTCCCAGTCCTTCTCCCAGGGGCCGCTGACTCAGGGTTACATCTCCATGAGCCAGCCCTCTCAGATGAGCCAACCTGGCCTCTCCCAGCCAGAGTTGTCCCAGGTAACACACAGATTTAACCATCTACCGGTTATTACACAGAACATCGAAACTTAAGGTTGTTTTATTTTTATTTTTGTGACGTTTGGATAAATTCAGTTGGATTTCTGTTTACAAATTCAATAAAACAAACAGTTTGAGATGCGTAATATATCTATTTATCATTCGTATCTTAACATTCAAGCAAAAACCGTCTTGAAATGCAGTGACTGTTGGCTAATCATTGGATAACCATGAATTAAGGCTTTTTACAATATACTTGGAGATTCTTGTTTAATAAAGAATAATCAAATTAAAGTAACTTTTCAATAAATCGCTGTGGTTCAGATGGAAATAATCCATCTTCTGTCTCCAGTAGCCGTGTGAACTCCTCGTTATCTGGGAAATGTGTTTTCCTCCTCATGCTGACGTTTAGGTTGATTTGCGTGTTTCTGGTGCTTCCTGTCTTCTCCTGCAGGATAGCTACCTGGGCGATGAGTTCAAGTCCCAGATCGACGTGGCTCTGTCCCAGGACTCCACTTACCAGGGTGAACGTGCGTACCAGCATGGCGGGGTGACCGGACTGTCACAGTACTAAAGTGTAAGTAGCTGCAGTTCGCTCACCAACACATTTATTAAATCAGTTAGCCAATCAGTCAGTGAAGGAACAGCTAGAGAAACGGTTGTTATTTTAAATGGATTGAGATGCGACACAAGAAAATTATTGCAAATTCTCAGCTTCCTTTCATAAAATTACCTGGTTTATTTCTCACCATAACAGGCCTGTCATTAATATCTGATAACAGTGTTAAGTTTTCATTACGGTGCTGCCTTAGTATACAAAGGTCTGTAATTAATTTGGAAAATATATGAATAATTAAATATATAAAATGTTTAAAGCTGGAAATGTTGCATCTTTGCACTTAAAGTGGTCGCCTGAGTATTAATGTTTTTATTTTTTATTTAGTTATTAATCAAGACACAAAATCAAAATAAACTTTAAAGCTGCAGAATGTTACGTTGATTAAAAAATGTTTTTTACATATTTGTTAAAACTCACCATGTTGTGGCAACATGACAAAGATAATCTGTGAAAAGATCGATCTCCTCTTGTGCTCCCGACCAAAAACAACCAATCGAACCCAGGAGAAGCGTCTTAGAGCTGTCAATCATCCTCATGTACTCGCCACTCAATGTTCTAATGGCAGAGAAACAGCTTAGTGTTGCAGGAAAACCATTTATCTGCTGCCATCGGTGGCCACACTACCTGCTATCAGAGAGAAATGATTGACAGCGTTAAGACCCGCCTCCGGGCTCTGATTGGTTGTTTCCAGTTAACACTGGGAAAAGACAGAGGAGCTTCATTTGATTTTTTCTTTTTCCCTCCACCGATTATCTGTCTCCTTCCGTACATCATATTTTAAAAATATATTTTTTAATTAAATTTACATTCTGCAGCTTTAAATGCAAACAAAAACCAATCTGAAAAGCGGCTTTCTGTGTTCCAGGTTGCCTGAAGAAGGGAGCTAGGCTTGAGCTGAGCTTAGTTCATCAGCTTTTTAATCTGGGAAATAATAAAAACATAAAATGGATACCTGTTTTCCTCTGCTACATCCGAAGCACCACCAAGTGAAAGCGACGGGATAGCGAAACCAAACCGATGACCAGCGAGAGAATGGGAGGGTAGAAGAAGAAGGAGGAGGAGAGAGCGCTAACAGACGGGCAGCGAGACGGAAAGAGGCCGCGTGAGCGAGCAAGCGAGAGAGAGAGAGAGGCGGGAGGCGACGCCCGCGCTGAGTGAAGGAGGAAAGTCGAGGATCTGGCGGCATCAGGTCGGGCTGCTGAGGGAAACAGACGAGAGATCCGCGGTCTCTCCTGAGAATCCAAGAGGCTCCGCTCCCCCCAACCCAACCCCGGCCGTCCACTCCCGAAGCTTCTGGGAAACGCTCCAGGATCAAAGCCAATCAGTGGAATTTTTAAGAACTCTTAAAATTTGGACAGAAACTGTGTCAGAAACAAAACGACCCTCCCTCCCCCCGACCTCACCTGGAGGCGGGCCGACCGCCAACCTGCCTCAACGTCCCAGAGAATTAAAAACGATTCGGCTCGTCGGGGGAGGACACCCCGCCGGGCCCGGACTCCTCGGCAGCCTCCGCAGGAAGCAGCAGTCGACTCTCCCTCTCAGAGGACGCAGGAACACTCCAGTCTGACGTCGAAATGCCTTCGTTTGCCTCGGGAACCGCCGGCGCCGCCACAGGGTCTCCAGCGAGGCGGCGGCGGACGCGGCGCGCAGACTTCAGGCAGGCATGAGACGCACATCCCGCCGACCGACGTGGTGATCGCCACGGGACAGTTTTTCTTCTCTGAATACCTTTCTTACCACAGAGCACAAAATTGCAACAAAAAAAAAAAATAGTTGGTGAAACTATCAAAACATGACCAGCAATGAATATTTGGCTCGGTGTCATTTGATGTTTCAGCTTCAGGCTTTTTTTTCCTACTGTAATCTCACGACAGCGGGGGTTGGCGTTTCGCTTCATGACCAGATTTATTTTATTTTATTTTTGACTGTACTCTGTGTGCTTAGATTGGCGAATGCTGAAACGCTTAGTGCTGAGGGGATCCTCGGGGGAAGTGGGGTTTTTCCACACCCGATGAACGAATCCCGCTGGAGTTGGGATAAGTGTGGAGGGAAACGACGAGGCAATCGATCCACTGAGAGGTAGAAAAGGAAGGTGGCTGAGGGAGAAACCAGTTCAGAAACTACATGTTTATGAAGAAAAGATGCGGCTGTTTGGCCAAACTACCGTGGAGTTGTAATTGGGGATGAGATTAACCCTGTAATTTAAAAACTTCCTGATCAGCAGGAACGCCGTTAGCTCTGATCAGATGACGGCGGGATGAAATAAAAAGATAAAAATGCTAATCAGTGCCTAAAACCATTCAACCTTCAGATAAAAAGCTGCAGCACAGACATGAATGTAGTTCGGACTTAAACTACCAGCATCTGACGACCCTTTAGAGCAAGATGGCCGCCAGAGAAAGGGGTTGTTGTTGAATCAGCGAGGTTGATGTTGGTCGTGACTAAAAGCCACCTTCCTTCTCTGTGGTAGAGTTTTTTACCTTCAGTGGCATTTTGATTTGTCCAAAGCTGTTCTGCTTGCTTTATGTATTTTATTCCTTTTTGGAGATTTATGATGTTTTAGCTTCCTGGAGATCCGAGAGCCTTTTTGTTGTTCAATCAGTTGCTGCTGTGTGCATCATGATCAGCGGGTGGTGTTGTTGTTTTTGGCCCATTTTTACACAGATTTCTCTTTTGTAGCATTTTGCTGGCTACAGGAAGGAGGCAGATGCCGTTTTCCTTCCCTCACCTGGACTTTTGTATCCTCCTCACACTGTCCGATGGGATTGTAGTTTTGTAAGCAGCACTTCCTGTAAGAATGTAGCCCTCACCTGCTTCTCACGTCTGCAGACATGTGACAATCCTGTTCCGGGTAGATGATGTTTAACTCAGAGTTTTTGTTGACATCCGGCTCTCATCTGTGCTATGAATTATTTTAACCCGCTCCACCGAAGGCCTAACATGTTGATAGCTTTAATGGAAAACGCCGCCCTGATATGGTTTCGTAGTTTTTCCATCATCGCAGCGGCGGTCGGTTGAAACGCGCAGTGATTTTTATTTTAGAAGTGATTCAGTAGATTTGCTCAAACATCTGCATCCGATCTGAATATTTGAGTTCAGAGATTAAATTCGTGGATTTAATGTGATGTAAATAGCGTTTGAAGCAGTGGATATTCTTTGCAGTGCTGTTTTATCACAAGACGGTGTTTCCCTTGGTAGCTGAATCAATAAAGGTGGTCGATTTGAGCCTCGGTGACATGAACTTTATTTGCATACAGAAATAAAACGTATATATACACAGGAGGAGCTTTCATGATGCGGCCAGCTCTGCCTTTTTGGTCTTGGTCTGTTTTCTCTTCTTCAGCTGTTCGTGTTTCTGTCTCTGAATGCTCTCCTGGATTTTCTGCTTGAACTTCTTCTTCTGGCTCCGGATCTTCTGCAGCTCGGCCTTCCTCTTGGCCTCCAGGTCCGGGTCCTGACACGGCAGAGAGGTCGCAAGTCAACGGCAGGAACTTCAAAACGAATGGATTCAGTTTCCACCAACACTCAACAGAGAGGTGGTGGTAAATGAAAGATCCTACTGTTTTATTTACACTGAGGTATTTTAGTTTAACAGGACAATATGCAAAAAAAAAAAAAAAAAAAAGATTTCACTTAATCCTGGGGTGTCTAAAGTGTGGCTCAGGGGCCATTTGTGACCCTTGAAATTATTTTGTTCGGCCAACAAGATAGAAAACAATTCATGACTCAGAAATTTGGAAACTGTCTCTTAATAGGCAACAGTCTGGAGGCCTTTTTATGTTTTGGATCTTTTAAAGACAGATTTCCTAAATGTATTTATTTTTGTAGGTAAAACTGAAACTGAGCTGCTCCATCTTTCTGCATGGTCATTATTGTAAAATTAGTTTTTAATAACTCGCCTAGTTAAATAAAATTTTATCATTTGATAAATTTTGTGGGCCACCAGTAGCTTAAATTAGCCAGTTCATTGGCTATTAATTGAATTTATTTTTAATTTTAACTTTAGTGTCCACAAAACAGCAGTAGGAACTTGACAAAGCTGATTATTTAAATTTTAAAACCAAATCCTTTAAAATATAATTTTAAATTTACTCAAAAATTTTATTAAAAGGATACAGAAATTACGTGATGAAGTTTTCACTTCACCACGTTTTAATGAGGAACAGTAGAGAAACCTTAAACTGTAAGTTACTATAGCTGTTGCTAGGTAACCACAAGTTATTCTACAGCCTGTTGCTAGGTAACCAAAGAGTGAGTTGATTCCACCCAGCAGACTGTAGACTGAGCAGTTAAAACCTTCCCTCTGCCTACATCCCCCAGAATGCTGTGCGCTTCTGACTTGAATCAGTGAATATTCTATCAGATGTATTATCTATCGCGATATATATTGTTATTGATTTATTGTGCGCAGGAATTGTAAAGCAAAACATGCACCATGGCTACAGTCTCCACACTGCAAAAACAAAATGTTACCAAGTATTTTTGGTATAAAATATCTTAGTACACTTAAAATAATTTAAAACTAGCTTAAAGGTAACTTTTCAGCATGAAATAGGAGTTTGTTTTAAGTAAATGATTTCTTAATATTCATTTTAATAAGTAATAATTACAAAATCAGCCAGTGGAACAAGACGTTTTAACTTATAATATGGGAAATAGTTCTTGCTAAAGGTAATTTTTCTTTAGCTTTAAACCATTTTTAAATGGGCAGGAAAACCCCTGAGTTTAGCAGCGTGTCTGTTTCTGAACTAATAAATGATTAATCTGTGACATGTGCAGCTGTTGGTCACCTTCCCCTCCAGGATCAGCTGCTTCCGCTTGTTAATCTCCTTTTTCTCATCAAAGTCCGTCGATTCCAGCCTCTGAAACAGAATTTTAAATAAAATCACATTTTTACATCATGAAGCAACAACTAGAGGATGTTTTTTTTTATTTTTAGATGACAACATGCATAAATCTTTAGTGTAAAGAGAAGAACATACAATTTCACACTCCCGCCGAGTCACGTTGACTTGTGTGAGGATCTTCAAAACTTCTTTCTCCTCCATGGGATACTCCTTCAGCTTCGTCTCTGCAGGAAAAAAATAAAATCTGTCTGAACTGTCCTCCAGTCAACAATTGATTTATCAAGCTGCTTTGCTCCTCCTGCTAGCTTAGCAAGCGTGAAATGGAAAAGTTTCTGAGGGGAAGGAAAAGAGCGAAGGAGCCGTCCTGCTTTTCCACAAACCACTGCAAAAAACGAGACTGGAGACCAGATAAAATTCGAGGGAATATAAAAATATTACATTTTCTTACCAAACGAGAAGATTGTGATGGAAAATTTTATCTAGGTAATATATTCAACATTAGATTAATAGTCATATTAAAGTTTTACACCACAAAACTGATTACCAATTACCTGTAAGCTCAGCACGCTTTAGCTAGTTATGTAAACGCACAGTACAGTTCCAGTTAGTTATAGTTTTCCCCCCATTTATTTTAGTTTTAGTTTACTATAACATTCAGACTTACTCGTCTGCTCCTCGATCGAATGCACCAGATGGATGTCGTACTGCGTCACCAGTGTGATTGACACTCCGTTCCTCCCTACAAAGAAGAAAATGACGTTTATTCATCCAATCAGTTTGGAGTGGATTAAACATGGCCGCCGTGATGTTGGCGTAAACCAGCCTGCTACCTGCTCTGGCTGTTCTCCCGACTCTGTGGATGTAGATCTTGGGAAGCCCTGGGGTGTTATGGTTGATGACGACCTGGACTGTGGGAATATCCAAACCCCTAAAATCAGAGCAAACAGAAACCGTCAGAACAAACCCGATGGCCGTCCAGAACCGAGTCCAAGCCGCCATAATTCACCTGGCAGCCACATCTGTCGCGATCAGGATTTTATAGACGCTGGCCTTGAACTTGGCCAGGTTGGCGAATCGTTGTTTCTGGAGAAACAAAATGGCGACCATTTATTTTAAATAATAATTTCTCTGGCAAGAGTACACTGCAAAAATACAAAATCCTACCAAATATTTTTGGTCTAGTTTCTAGTGCAAGTAACTTAATACAATTAAAATGAGACAAACTTAACAGTAACTTTTTAGCAAGACATAGGAGCTTGTTTTAAGTAAATAAGTCCTTAATTTTATTGAAAAAGTTGTAGTTCCATTGGGAGATTATTTTATAAGATCCCTAAAGTGAAACAATCTGCCAGAGGATCAATATTAAGGAATTATTGATTGGAATCACATTTATGTTGCTTAAAAATAATTTCTAGGTAAATTTTGTCTTATTTTATGTAATTAATATATTTGCAGTAGAAACTATATCAAAATTAGTTGGAAAAAATTTTGATTTTTTGCAGTGTAACTGATCAGAAACTGCAGATTTGGGTGAAGTTAGTCGTTGACGTCATAATTGACGTTTCTGATCGATTGTCCTGATCAGCCTCACCTGTTTCATCATGGAGTGCAGACAGATGGTAGGAAAGTTGAACGCCTGCAGCATCATCGTCAGAATCTGGCAGCTCCTGAAAAATTATTTAATTATTTAATTTTCTCTGCCTGACAGATGAAAATGCACTTTCATTTATTACTTATTTATTTTTAACTTATTCATACACAAATCAGAAAACAAAAAAAGGGTGAAAAAATTGACAAAACTAATACAGAAATAGAAAAACAATATTTAAATTCCTATCAATGGTGAGATCACAAGCTGAGTCATGTTTATCTGGTAGATAAATTCATAAAGGAAAATCAAACCTTAATGCATTTGTTTAACAAATGATTTTAATGCTTTTTTGAAAAACACAGTTTTAACTCCTCAACAATTATTCCACATTTAAGGTTTATTTGATGTACAGATCCATAAAGCCAGATTGCAGAATACTGAGACGAAAGTTTCTCTCATTTAATTTCAGAAATCTTTTTATGAGCTACTTTGTACAAAACAAGGAAGTAAAATAAATTTTTTAGCATCTTCCATAGACCTACAGATAACAAGTCTAAATAATTAAACTCGGCATGTTTGTGGCTCCGTACTTGCAGGTCTTGGTGAAGATGATGATGGACCAGTCGTCATGCTGGTCTGTGAACGTCTGGATCAGGTGGACCAGGTACGCGTCCTTCACCTTCTCTGGGGTCAGGATGTACCTCTGGTCCAGCTCCTCCACTGTCCGCGTCCTGACACAAACAATATACCAATAATTAATCGATTATTAAAATAAAACTAATTTAGTAGCTGGTTAACTGGAGTAAACAGACGCAGAAAAAAAACAGTCAGAGCAAAAACTACATAAAATATTCACTTTTTCTTTTTAAAAACCTTTTGTCTGTAAATATGTTCTACCAAAAGGTTCTCAAGTTTTAACTTTATCTTTTGCTATCTAGTTACTAATCAGTTAACCAAAACAATAATCAAAGATCAGTCCTCCACTGTATTGATATTAAATCAATAAAGTGTTGATGCCAGAAGTATTTTTAGCTGCACATTCTTTGCTACAAATGTTCACTAAAAGAATGTTGTTTCTGCATTTTAGACAATAAAATTCTTATTTACCTATTTAGGAAAGGAATATAATTATTTATTTGAATTTTTATGTATTTCAAGTATTTTAAAAATGAAGCTTAAGTGGATAAATAAAAAATCTGCAGAATGTGGTAATTTTTTTATCTGATTGTCAGAATGACTGATTTCAGAAGTAATCAAAACTCATTGAAAACAATCACAATGCATGAGTTTACAAAAAGTGAAAGAATAATAGCAGTTTTCTCTCTCAACTCCTTTTTAAATTCAAGTTCAGCATAAAAAACCCGTCAAAGTATTTAGCAGGATACATGAAAGACCAAAACTAACTGGTCTATATCTGTGAAGTGGAAGGAATATTAATTTCTTTCTACAAATAAAAACCTACTAAGCTTGCATTCAGTGTTTTCATTACATTTGACTCAAAAGTTTCCAGGTTTCTTCCCCCAACATCCCCTGAGGTGGGAACTTTAACTGATAAGGTTGGACTTCGCTTGGCGGTTCCAGACGGTGATAGCTGTGGGGTCGACTCACTCGGACGTGCTCTCCCAGAAGAACGGCTTGTTCATGGCGATGCTCTTCAGCTCCTGCAGGGTGTCGGTGAGCGTGGCGCTGAACAGCAGCGTCTGGCGTTTGGCCGGCAACACGCTCAGGATCACCTCCAGGTCTTTGGTGAAGTCGGTGCAGCCCTGCTCCAGCAGCCGGTCCGCTTCGTCCAAAATCTGACGACAAAGCGCAGAGAGAGTCGGCAAAAACAGAACTGCTTCAGGAACTTTGACTTCAGGTTTATGTGTTTCTGACTTCAGCTTTAAGAGCAATAAATCAATTAATTACATGATAAATTAAAACAAATTCAATCATTTTCATTGATTTAATGTCTCTCTTTTCTTTCTCTTTGTATCAAAAACTGAACGATAAAACTCTTCAGTCTGGTGCTTTGGAATCCACTAAACCTTTTTAAGGACAATTTTGTTTACAGAGACTTTATAATTATTTTTGTTGTTTTGTTTATTTTGGATATTTAAAATGTCTTCCAGTGCTAAATGTTCATTATTAAAGTTTATTAATCTTCGAAAATGTGTTCTTGTTTTACTATGCCATTACTTGAAAATGGTATCAAAACAATAATATCGTTTATCTGGGACAATTTATCATCCAGCAAAACGTGTTTTTGTGACAAAAATAGATAAACAAGAAGTTTTATGTAAAATGTCCCAACATGGTTTTATTCTGGACAATAAATCATCCCAGTAATTGTGATAAACAATAACATTGTTATTTTGACTCCATTTTCAAGTAAAATATTTAATAATAATGCAGGATTACAGTTTTGAAGACCGATAACTTTATAAATAATACTTAACATTGGAACTGGAAAATATGTAAAATATCCAAAATAAAACAACCAAAAACTAAAAATAAATCAGAAATAAAAAAATGCATCTGAAACCATAAATAATATAAAGAACAGTCTGTAAACAAAACTGCTCTTTAAAAAATATTAATAATCACAATGTAAATTTTTGAGCTCCTTTCAATTTTTCATGCATTTAGTTGATTAATTGCAACAGATTTAAATCTTTTTTCATCAGTGATCAAATATTTACAGTTTTGTTTTTCTCACCAAGAACTTGATCTTCCTCATGCTGAAGGTGTTGGAGCTGCGGATGTGGTCGGCCAGCCGACCCGGCGTTGCCACGACAACGTGAGGCTGGTTGGACAGCTCCAGGGCCTGGGTCACCATGTCTGTCCAGATGACAGGAAACCAGTCACTCACAACAAGGCAGAAATTAAACTGGAAGCAACATTTTCCACTTTATTCTGTAAAATAAAGTGGAAAATGTTTCCTTCTCTTCATTTAAACACAAAAATCAAGCGTTATTGAATTCTGATGCAGCCGGTTCTGACGTGACGTTACCCATTCCTCCGACGATGATGCAGTCTTTCAGACCCATAGGTTTGCCCAGGACTCTGAACTGCTCTGCAATCTGATAGGCCAGCTCCCTGTGTGACATCACATGACAAGCTTTTAAGTAAAACTCAGAAATAGAGAATCTGTAGAGATTTTATTGCTTTAACAGTGACGTTTGGGATTAGTCTATGGGCGATGCAAAACATGTTTTTGCACAAAATCATTCGTAGATAATAAGATTTTAGTTGGTTCAGTTCTGTCTATTTTCTGTTTTAAGGCGTCTTGTCACTTTAAATCTGAATAAGGTGCTACTGGGTGTGCAATTATGCAACCGTACAGCTTTGAAAAGTACAAGTAGATCCTCCTGCACAAACAAGAATTCAGAAAGTGGTTTCTGGATGGTAAGTCAACAACAAAACACTTCTCTTTTCCAGCAGCCATTGTACAACACATCCAGCGGTAAAAACAGCTGACAAAATGTGCTGGAGCTATGCTACTGTTGCTAGGTAACAGCCCACCTCTGAAGGTTTTTGAAACGGCTCATTTTCCAGACACTGAAAAACTTTTTATTGCCAAAACCGTCTTGGGTTTTCTTTTAAAGCTCTTATGCTGTTTTTAGAAGCAGCAGAAACCCAAATGGAAGTAAAATAACATGCAAATTGTGAGCTGTCTGCTCAGGCCATTAAATCTCAGTCTGAAAAAGCATCTGGAGCTAAAACTAGTGACACGGGAATAATAAATAAAATCTAGTAACTATGTTCCACTGAGGTCTTGGATGAAAAAGAACGTTTTCACCCTGTTTTGTTTTATTATTATTCATATTTCTATTCAACTGTTTTTCTCTCAGTGATTTTATTCAGAGTGAAATGTCACTCTGAATTGTTTTTGTATTTTAAAAACTTCAACTATAAATGTTATTTGTGTGCTGAGACAAAACTTCTGTGATAACTGAATGAGTCGTGTGAATCTGTGACCTCTGACCTGGTGGGAGTGAGAACCAGACAGAAGATGCCATATGGCTCCTCCGACAGTTTTTGCAGCACCGGCAACACGAAGGCCGCCGTCTTCCCACTTCCTGTCTTGGCACAGCCCATGCAGTCGCGCCCTGAGAGAAGAACCGGATCTGGGTCAGAACCAGAACAAACGCAAGGCGACTGGTTCTACTGAAAATGTTTAAAACTGAGGGCCTTTTTCTTTCCTAAGAATAAATAAGTGTATTAAACAAATGATTATGACCAGTTATTTGTTTCAAACTTGTATAACTTTTAAACTGACAAACCAAAAATAAGATTCTGTGTTAAACAAACCGTGACTGAAATAAAAGACAAATCCATCATAAAACCAGACCTCAAGTTTATAAAGCTTTACATTTAACACATTACAATCACAACCATAGATAGACAGCATTACACTAAAATATTAGATATAGTTTTAGATCTATTTTTTAGACTATTTTTTGTTATTAAATTGGAAAATATACAGTTTTTTTCCCATTTGTTTCATCATCCCACATACGGAAACCTTTCTGTAAAGGTTTTCTGTTTTTCCTTTAAAACCTAAAAACAGACAGAAAACAAGTTTCTTTAAAAATGACAACGTATTAACAACAAAATGCATCGAAATTTATAGCTTAAACGGGACAAAATGTGAAAATTAAAACTATATCCAACCAAATAATTTTAGTAAATGTCTATGCACTTGTGCTATTAAGAGCGTGTTGGTCCATCTGTTGCACATTTTGGGAAAACAGATTGTAGATTCGGCTTAAAAAGAGCTTAATGTTATTTCTTTATTACATCTAAATCATAAACACATAAATCAAGCTGGTAAAATGTGGGCTAAATGCAGCTTTTTATCCTCTAGTTAAACAGAAGAGCTGTTACCTTCCAGGATGGGTGGGATGCAGTTTTCCTGAACCGGAGTGGGTTTGTTGAGCCCCAGCTGTTTACATTGCTTCACCAGCCAGTCCGACAGGCCCACGGACGACAAGTCGCTCATTTTCAAATTATATTAATACAAAAACACTCTAAATTTACATTTATGGGAGTTTTTAGGCTAAAACATACTATTTTTGCGTAAACTCGAATCCTCGTGTTTGTTCCACAGCCGCCATGATGCTACGTAAGAACGTGACGCTTACGGAAGTAGACGGGCGCTCATTGTTGCCCCCTGCTGGTCAAATGATTAATAGAAAAAAACGTGTGTAAGTACATCTGTTTGAGTTATATGACGTAAGATGCTTGAAAACCTTTATTAATGTTAATTTTAATAATTTACACCCACAGTTACTGAAAACCATACATTTAATATCAGAATATTACACCCACCTGATAAAAAAAACAAAAAACATTTTAACACACAAATGTGGGAATAATTATTAATTTTTATGTTCAAAATGTCGTTTTGATCTGGCAGTTGACCTTAAGCGGAACGCACATTCTGATTTACAGTGTATTGATTGATTTATATACTTTATTTATTAAATCAGTCATCAAATAATTTATTATCAACACTTCAAAACACTACAATTTGAACAATTTGAGTAAAAAGGTAAAGGCACGGGGCCTATGCCTATTTTACACATCAAACTGCATTAAGGTACCTATCGTAAATCATTGCAGTATTATAATCATAGAAATCACTAAGAAGAAACATCAAATGAGGGATAAATAGTCCACAACAACAACAAAAAAATGTACGCTTGTAATCCTCAAATATTTTCTTTATTATAATTTTAAATTAAACATATATGACTGTGTAAATGTATAAAATCACTAAAAATAAAAAATATAAGCCAGCAGGTGGCGACAATACTTTATTTAAAGCAGAGATGAGTTACACATAGGTCATGATAATAAATAATAAAAGAATACATTTTCTGACTCTCCGTGCAGTTATAAAAATAAAGAGTACACCGATGCTGTTTCTTTAGAATAGCCAGTCACTGTTAATACATTTCACTTGTTTTATTGATAATAATCATTTTACCACCTCTACAAAAGCAGGTGTGAATGTGAACACGATGAAGGCGACAGTAATGACCTCAGTGGAGCGATTATTGCTGCCAATCAATACGGAACAGCTTCAAAGAGGATCTCCAGACTATCTGAAGTCAGTCATCTTGTGTTTGGGAAGATTACTGACAGATGCAAAGATTTGAAGGAAAAAGAACATTGAGCCCAAGTTTTATGTTTAGGGGAAAGGCGAAGCAACCTGAACCGCCATCTTGGACTCAAAAAGCCTCAAATTTTAGAGTTTATAAAAGTGTCTGAATTGGCTGCCAGAAAAAGGGTTTACCTGAAAAGACCGAAGATTCAAATGATCTGATGAAAGCAACAAAACAAAGCCCAGAGTATCATGGCATATTTATGCAGAGGTGGTCACATCAGTGACGTATTTCAGAGTGAAATATGAGCAACATGGCCGCCAGGTGAAGGACTTTGTTCAGGATGGAGCTGAAGCTGAATGAGAGCAGCTGTGAAATCAGATGAAATTAATTTTCTAATGGCCACAATGACCTACATTAGTGTGTAGAAAACCACGAGGTCACTAAATACTCATCGTCTCAAAGCAGTTCAGCAGCTGCTCTTAATACCTAGCAGCTGTTATTTCATATCACTTGATTTGTGGTGTCATAATTTACAAATGTTCACTTCGTTTCTGTCCTGAAATGTAATACATGCAGCAGTTTTACAGATTCACCTTGTTTTTGCAGCAGGATTCCTCACTCATCCGTTCTCACACATCTTTTATGGAGTTAAAGATAAATCGACAGAGAGCCTCCGATCGATAAAAACTTTTATTTTCTCCATGTAGAAGAGAAATCAAACTCTGAGGTTGTTCAATTTTCACCGTGATTAATGACCAGAAATATCTCCAAAATACCTCACAGTTAATACCCAGTGTTTTTATCTTCTCACGACCTGTTCTCATGTTACATAAGATGTTAGTAACCTTTATTTGTCATGTTATATTCAGAATTGACTGGTCAGTGCTGTCCTGGATTTTCAGCCTTCTGTTTGTCTCCATCTGCTCTGACTTCAGTTCGCTCAGCCTCCGCGCTGCTCACACTGATTCATGCAGACGGACCGAGCGATGGAAAAGACCTGCAGGATTTTTCAACAAAATCTGAGGTTGAGTCTGCTTCACAGAAGGTTTGCATCACTTCATGTTTTATTTTTGAGAGTAAAGGATGAAGGAATTCAGCCTGCAAGATGATCCGTGAACAAGCAAAATGGTGTGATAACAGGGAACACACTGTAAAAATACCTTTCAAGGCGAGTCAAGGCGAGTTTTAACATTCGTACAAAAGCAAAACGAAAGGATAAAGATAAAGAAATGCAATAAATGAGGAACTGTAAGATTATGGCTTTATGTCTAAATTGTGAAATTCGTAAGATAAGTAGTTAAAGTCCAGTGGGTTGTTTGGGCCATTGTAGATATAAAAAAGGATGAGTAAGTTTCCAACAAAACTCTAAATTTTCTAAAAAAAAAAAAACAACAAAAAAAACATGGATCTTCAAAAGTAGAAAAAATGCTGGAAAAAGCAGATATTTCCAGAAGAAAAAAAGAGTGGAAACGTCTCAGTTTGAAAAGTCGAAAATTTGCTAGAAAAACTTTAAAAAAATTGAGATTAATCACCAAAACCTGGAAATTTTAGAGTTTCAAAAGTTTAATATTTTTTACTTTGGAGATTTCCAAATTTGACATTTGGAAATTTTAAAGTTTCTTTCTTAAAGATTTCTGAGATGAAATTCAAATTTTCTAAGTTTTTTCTCTCATATTTTTTTTTCAAAGCTCAGAAATTGTATTATGTTTTTCTAAAAGAAATTCTGAAATTAATCTAAAAAGTTTTGAATTTTTTGGCAGATTTACTTCTTTTTTTTCTTTGTACAAAGGTCTTAATATGCCATGGTACCTTATAAGATATTTTTGTTTGTAAGCTGCAGTATTATTTAATATTTTTCAGTCCTGATTAATGAAGATTTACAAACTGATCTCAAGTTTTCAGGTTAAACTAGAAACAATAATATGATTTATTATTCAAAAAACGTCTAAATCTAATTTTATTGTTCTGCTTCTTCGTTGTTGTATTTCAGTTAAATGTTTCAAAGCAACATTTAATTCATGCTTCTTCTTTTTTTTAGCCGTGTCTGATGAGAACATGCACAAACCTTTGTCTTCCAGGGACTCAAATGTAATTTTAGATTTGACAGAATATTTTTCAGAGACACGTTCAGGCTGCTGAAAGGTCAGCATTTGCACATGAAGTTGTTTTGATGAGCTGAAAGCTGTCTTTTTAGTTGCAACAACAAAATAAATCAATCAAACGTAAAAGCAGAAGTGGACAAATCATTATTTGTTTGTACTCAGAGAGAAAAAAGCAACAGCAAAATCGACAAGATTAAAAAGGGAGGACATTCAGAAAACAGTGATGATGACAGGATTTCTGTCATGTTCAAATCAAAAATGCTTCAGGACATGCAGGCAGGAGAAAAACTCTCCAATAGATGAGTCTGTCATTACCGACTCTGGACATAATGAGGGATTTTCATTCAGAAGGAGCAGCACAAGGTGAAAAGCATCAGTGACTCACAAAACCTGGAAGGTAAACAACTGGAAAGGTTGGAAACGGTCTCTGATGGGGAAATGAAACAAAATGAAACTCAGTCCATGCATGGAGATCCTCATCTGTGCTGATGAGAGCACACATTCACTCCAGATGTTTTGGGTCCCACATGTGGCAGGAGCAGCTGGAGGAACGCCGACGAGTACGGAGATATCCGGCCTGCCCCGATTCATCCCTGACTGGACAGAAACCCAACTACGACACGAAGCTCTGCTTCACGACGTCACCGGATGACCCTGAACACATCCAAGCACTAAAAGTAAGTTCTTTCCAAAAAGTTACTCAGTTAAATGTAACCGAGTAAATGTAACTAGTTTCTACCAACTCTGTCATTGATTGCTGCACCAGCGTCTTCTCAGGTCTGCCTAAGAAACCAGTCCTCCAGCTGCAGCTGATCCAAAATGCTGCTGCTGGTGTTCTGACTAAAACCAGGAAGTTAGAGCACATCACACAGTCCCTCCCTTCACTGGCTCCCTGCAGCTCAGAGACTTTAACATACTGCTGTTAGTTTATAAATCACTGAACGGTTCTGCACCACCATACATTAAAGATCTGCTGTTGTCATAGCAACCTTCCAGATTCCCTCAGGTCTTCTGGTTCTGGTTCTGCATCCTCAGAACCAAACATGGAGAATCAACATTCAGCTTCTATGCACCACAAATCTGGCACAAACTTCCAGAAAACTGCAAAACAGTCGAAACACTGACTGCCTTTAAATCTAGACTAAAAACCCGGCTGGTTAGAATCACTTTTGATTAATAGTAAATGGAAAATTGATCAACCTTTGATGTATATTGATTATTTTCATGATGGCATTTCAGAAAATTAAATGTTTATTATTTGTTAATTTGTGACTATATCATGTTTTTAAACTTAATTTCACCAAACAGATGGATAACAATTCAAAACACTGCAAACAGCGACGCTGGAGATTTTAGAGGTGAAGAAGCAGAATATTCTCCAGGTGTCGTCCAAACAGCTGATCTCCATCTGGTTCCGGTCCATTTCCCTTAATGAGGATAAACTCTATCAAACAGCGGAAACAGAGTGAAGATTTTTTCTGTTAAAATCTGCAGACGACCAGAAAGAACAGTCTTATCTCGTTAAACGTTTTAAAAAGGAAACATTTCTCTGATTGGGCACATTTTTGTTCCCCTGGATGTAAACTTGTGTGACTCATCCGCTGTTTGACTAAAGAGGGATGAAGATCCCTGCAGAGACAGCCTGCACACTCTGTCTCCTGCAGCTGATTATTTCCTCTGTGCTGCAGGCAGGCGCCTGGACATTTAGCGCCGTCTCTCCCAGAGCGTCCAGCTGTGCTGCAAACTGACCAAAACCAACGAAGAAGCGTCGGTTCTGCAAACCAGCAGCCTCAGTGGTTTCTGGTTCTGTGAGGCAGAGATCCGATGTTCCCATGCTGCCTCTCTGCAGCCCAGAAGAGCAGTCAGCTGCGCCGCTGAAACGGGCCACTGAGCAGGACGATTACCGCGCTCTTCCTCCACATCTGAGCCTCCAAAACTCCACTGCAGATATTTTGAATCAGGGCTGATCCTGCTGCACTAATGCATTAAAAAATCATCTCTAACAACAAAGGAATAATTTTTTACACAGATTCATATTTGAATGTACTGAGAGATATGAATGATGTGACTTTTTTCCACCAGACAGAAGCTCTGAACGCTGCAAAAAGAGAAAATTTTACCAAATATTTTTGGTCTATTTTTATCAATCAATAAAATTTTATTTGTATATCACCTTTCAGCAACAAAGCATTTCAAATTGCTTTACATCATAAAAACACAAAAATACAAATCAATAGAACAGTCAGTAATTGGTTAAGGCCAAACAAAATAATTTCAAGGGCCACAAATGGCCCCCGGGCCACCCTTTGGGCCCCCTCTGGTTAAACTCCATCGCTCCTCTCTGTTTCTATCCGGGCGGTTTGCGTCATGCGCTACCATGGTAACCGAGGCAGGCGCTGGTTCCGCTGACCATCTGGGCTGGTGCCAAGTCCTGCTGGAAAATGAAATCCGCGTCTCCATAAAACCTTTCAGCAGCGGATGAAGCGCCGTAAAGTTTCCCGGTGGACAGCTCTGCTGACCGGCTCCAGCGAATGGCTCCGTATATCACCACGGAAAGCTCGAACTGGACCTCAAGAGGCCCGGTTCTGTGACCTCGATTCCTAACTGGAACACAAAAAGAGACGCTAGTCAAAATTCATTTCAGTTATCCCAAAATTTAGTTTTTCCCCCTCAATTTTCCATTTATTTGCTTGGAAACAGAAGAGAAGATTCAACACATTGGAATAAAACACAAGAAAATGTTTCCAGATCAGTTTCTTTAAATAGAAAACTTATGAAACTTTAACAAAAACGGCAGGTAATGTGTCTGTGTCTAGTGAATTTTTGATTAATTGTTTTTCATTCAGACTGTAAAACATCTGAAAGTGGTTTATCCTGAACATGAAAATCCACCTGATGCCTTGAAAATGCAATTTAAGACAACAAGAAAATTGTTTTGGTTTTCTCACAGAAATTAAAGTTTATGAAGTTTATTCAATAAGACACAAGTTGTCTAAACATTGTTAATAAAGTTAATTAATCTTGAATTGTAAGTTTTAACTTAATGCTGCAATTTAATCCAAATAATTATTTCACAATATGGAAGATAAAAATCTGCTCTCACCAGTTAAAGAGCAGATTTTGCTATCTTCACTCACATTGTCAAGTTAAAACAACTACTTATTTTACTTTAGGATAATTTAAATTCTTGTTTCAAATTCCACGAACAAAATTTCTGATCTGATCATTAATTTGATTAAACACAAAGAATTCAGCTCAGAAACATTTAGTGTGAACAGGACATAAAAATAAACATTTATCTTAATAAAAACAAGAGTCGGATCAATGTAACGCACTTCCATCTCAGGATACACGAACATGCCGCTAAGCATTCTGGGAAATAGCTCCCACTCCTGTGTTTTTCTTCTTTCAGCTTTTTTTAAGTGCTGACCTAAAACCTCCAGTTTATTCAACTTTTGGAGGTCTGACAGAATTAATACAAATATTAAAACAACTTATTACTGTAAGTTTATCTTTCACAAACTCACCCACTTAGGTTCAAAATCTAAAACTTTAAATTTATTTGACTTAAAGAGTAGATAGTAGACACAATTAAATGTGGCTCAAATGTTTTACAGTGAAGGAGTAGAGAATACAGAAATTTTATTCAAGTAAAAATAAAAAGTACAGTGTAGTGAAAATACTCTGAAAACTAAATTTTCCCCCAAACGTTACTCTAGTAAATGTAACTAGGTAAATGTAACTAGTTGCTACCAAACTGCTGATTTCAGACTGACGTTTCCGAGGCTTGGAGCGTCTCTTCGCATTGTGTCCGTCAGGTGGCGCTGTGGAGGCCCCACAGCCCCTCTGAGGTTGCTGAATGGGATCCCAGTGTGATCGGGCTCGGAAGCGGGAGGGGAGAGCAGGGCACACAAGTTCTGGAGGAGGTCGGAGCTAGAAGCGGTCCGCTGCCCGACTTCCATCGACATTCCTCCAATTGTTCCGCCCGCACAGCTGAGCCAAACGTTCATCGTGCGTAATTACGCACGGGCACGACGGATCCGCGGCGCTACCGGCTGTGGAAACCCGCGGACAAAGGACGGCAGGCAGGCGGGCAGGCAGGCTGGAGAAACACTGTCTGACTTCAGAGGAGAGAAGTGCGGTTGGGAGGGAAACGGGGGGATCTGGAGTCGGAAGTGACTTGTGTTTTTACTCTTGAGAAATGTAACGCGAGGAAAGGATTTCAGGAAGAAAGTCAGCCTTTTGGAGAGAGGAGAAACCGGGCCGGACGGACTTTTGACAGGAACAACTCCTAAAATAATCAGCATCCAGATCATCGGAGCATGGGGTGAGTTAGAGATCTGATAAGATCCTTTCAGATCCCTCCAGAAAATGCTAAATGTGTGAAAGTGAACTTTGTTTATTTTTCTGAGGGAATCAACATAATTGATCGGGTTTAACTGCAGCATTGAAGTAATTCCAATCAGTCTGTGTGAGACGCTGGGCTTTTTTCTTTGTTTAAACCATAAAAGACATCTCAGAGAGGGGGATCCTTCACGCAGAGCTGACCTACTTTCCTCACGTCTCTGTTTAAACCTTAATGACAGTTGTGACCGCAAAAAGGTCAAATTGACGGTATGATTAATTTACTGCCTTTGCGATCACTCTGCAGCTTCCTCAGCTCTACCTGGGATGTTAATCCTAGAGGCCAGTTAAGCACCTTCAGAATAAATTACTTTTTCAGCCTCAGCTTCACAGACACACCGGGAGCCTTTGGCTCATTTCCCATCCGATTTCTGAGCAGAGGATCCCGGCTGGGGTTTGCTTTGGGAATCTCCGTCTATTTGGCTCTGCGTCTGAGTTGGAGCCGTAAATATTTCATATACTAGCCTGCAGCTAAAACTCACATAAATCCCCCCTTTGGGTCTCCATAATGGGACTCAGTTACCTGCACAGATTAGGAGTTTTTTAGGTTGTATTTTCATTTTTTAACTGATTTCCCTTTTGGATTAGTGAAAATATTTGTAGAATTAATTGAAATTTAAATAAACATGATTAAAGATGTGTTGTGGTCGAAGCTCTGAAATGCTCCCAAATTTTGCTTATTCTAATTTTTACATACACAAATGACTCTAGATTAAACATTGTTCAGATTTTTACCATAAGAATAATCCCAAAGTTGTGTTTCTGAAAATATTCCAGGTTTTTGAACCATCCATAAGAATAAAATCCAACCAACACTTTGGCCTGTCACAATAACAAATTTTACTGGATGATAAACTGTCCCACATATTATCGTGATAAACAATATTATTGTTGTTCTGAGACAATTTAAATGTAATATTTTGATAGTGGCTAACAATGCAAGTTTGAGGCATTAAAAAGTAGAAAAATATTAATCATCAGAATGGAAATTATCAAGCTTATCTTAATTTGTCATGCCATTAATTACTTGTTCAGACAGACCTACCAACACATTTCCTTTACTGCATAGAAGGACATGCAGTAAAAATCTTTTTTATGAAAGATTAATCTTTCATAAAAAAGATTAATCTTTTTTATGAAAGATTAATCTTTCATTAATCTTTCATAAAAGATTAATGAAAGATTAATTAATCTTTTCCATTTCTTCCAGAGTGAATTATGTCGCAAAACACAATTTTTTTCTTTCCATAAGTTAGTTTCAAACAAGTAGAGACATCCGACTTAATATTGGAGAGAAAATCTGTGATTCATAGTTAAATGCTGGATTTTTAAATCAACAAATGTTCATATTACAACCAGAGGATTGGTTGAAGTTACACAGCTCTGCAGTTAAACAAGCTTTCACTTAATTCATCAAACAAACAGACTAAAACGTCGTTAACATCTTAGCAGTTAGCAAGATTAGTGAGGTTAGCACAATTAGCACCAGAGCTAACAGTCCTTCAGTTTTAGACGTGTCCCTGCTCCATCAGCTCTGCGCAGGCCGGTTAACGAGCCGTTCGTTTGGTTCAGGTGTGTTGGAGCACAGATTTATCTAAACGCTGCAGGACTTTCACTCTCCAGGACTGGACTGGTCCGCCCTTCGCTGCAGAGTGAGTAGGTCTGATTTCTTTGCTCAAAGATTTCTGAAACACAAACGTGTGTATTTTTTTCACTGCCAGGCAGAATTGGACGAACCAGAGCAACTTTACTCTGACGCAGACTCTGACCCTGGTTAAAACTGAATGCTTAGCCAACATCCATCTATAGTAAATGCATCTCCTTCTGGGTGGTTTCTTACATTTTATTGCTTCCAAAAGAAAGAAGATGATAATGATGCATCTGTGGACGAACGTCAAGCAAGAAAACACAGAACACGATGCATAAATACAATCTGCTTCCAAACATTACATGTAAAATGCTGCCTTCATCTGTACATTTGAAAAGTTTTTCAGCAGAGTCAGAGTTTTCCTCTGTGCTGTTCTGAAAACTGCATGACGGCTCTCAGGAGATTCACAGGAGCCTGTGACGTAGTCAGCATGCTACACGTCTCAAAAAAACAAGTCTTAGTCAGAAATCAGGCATTTTAAAATACAGATGATGAATAGGAAATAACTTTTTAATTTAGGATAGATGCTATGGTCTCTATCGCCTCAGAGGATTAAACTACATAAAGTAACGCTGGTGTTAAACATCGTATTTGATTCACTCAGTTTTAACTCTGCACACTTTTATCCAGATGAGCCACCTGGTTCTGGTGGGTCAGTTTAAACGATGTCATGTTTAACTTGGCTAAAACTATGCGATAAGCTCATATTATTATTATTTTAAAGTCAAATCGGTGTACCTTAAGTCCACTCGTAATACATTTTCACATTTTCAAAACCCAAAGCTGCAAATCTCTGCGAACGACTTCAACAAACGGATATTTAGTGGAAATAATATCTGATAAGTTCAGTTTTACAGAGGAGCTTTAATTCTTCTTGTCTGAGCTTTTCTCTGGTATTTATGCACATTTTGATCTTCAAAGCAAAGCTATAACTGTATTCTTAAAAGTTTTTTTCCCCCTTCCTAAGCACATCTGACCTAAATCCTGTTAATGCCACTTCAAACGTGAAACTACTCTCTGTGGAAAAGTTAGGAACCGAAACCGAGAATTAACGGCAGAAAACCAATAACGACTGTATTGCTTTATATGATGCTCCAGTTCGCCTAACAGTGTGGACTTTCTTTCTTCTGGTTGTGCTGCAGCGGAGGTATCTGAGAGCTGTAAAATGTACCCGCGACACCGTGAGAGGTAGAAACCCGCCGCCGTGTCTGTGTCGTGGTTCTGTATGTCAGGGATGGGCGATGACCAAAATGTCCAAAAATATCCAAAAAAAATGCTTCAAAATCTCTGAAGCGCTAAAATCTCCCTCCCTAAAACTGTTTACGAGAACCAAGTTGTCCATGTATGATGTATTAGTGGGTGATTATAAATTTAGCATTATTAGCGTGAAAGAAAGATGGGTTTGTGTCATAGTTTAGGGAACTATCATTGGAGATGTCAACAATACCACAAAATCCAAGAAAGACAGAAAAAACCTTTTGAGTTTGAAATCGTTTGGTTTGAAGCTCAAAAGTTTAACATCAGGTATTGGGAATAATCCGCCCATCCCTGCTTTATGAAACATTGATGAAGCGAATCCTCCATCATCCCATTGCTGTGATGTTAATCCTTCCCTGAGTGTCTGTGGAAACTGCATCCGAGCCGCTGCAGACGCTTCGTGCTTGTCGTGTTGTGCAGATGTTGTCAGTGCAACTCCTGCTGTCGTCACCTGATGTCCCTTTTATCGTGTTTCGTCCTCCTGTCAGCGGATCCGCTGCCGCTCCATCTGCTGCCGGTTTCCTTACGCAGCTCATCAGACTCGCTTTGCATGTCAGACCTTCATGTTTAAAATAACTACAGCTGATTAATGGATATGTAGGGCTGTTTGAATGTGCAGCGAACCAAATTATATGTGCTAATCCAAGCAAAAAGTTGCTGCTTATGCCGACTGACGGAAACTGTTCTTGTTTGCATATTTTCAGTTCACAGAAAATAAAAACAAGACAGTTTAAATATGATTTTACCTTTGAGTTTTTTAGGTGATATGGCTAAAAAAAAAAGTATCACAATATTGTAGCTTACAATGCAAAACACACAACTTTACCAAGTATTTTTGGTCTAGTTTTTAGTGGGAATATTTGTTTATTTGTGTATTTAAGGTCTTACAATTATTACAAAAAGACATAACAAAATACCATGCCACACAAGCTATTTCAACATCAAAACTTAAAAAAAAACCCTTTTTAACTTTTACACTTTAAATAAGGAAAAACTGACTTACAAGTAAAAGTTGTAAAAGTTGTAACTTTTCTTGCTGAAAAGAAATAGGAACTTATTTTAAGTAAATAATTCCTTAATGATGAAAAAGTGCAGGTTCCTCAGGCAGATTATCTCAATAATATATTTAAAAAATATAACCCAGGAGTTGAGCTAGTACTTTTTTAAAAACAATATTAAGGAATTGATTACTTAAAGCAAGCTGAAAAGTTAGATGAAAAGGTACTTTTCAGTTAGTTTTGTCTTATTTCAAGTGTACTACAATATTTTCCCTATAATTAGACTAAAATACTTGGTAGGATTTTGGGATTTTGCAGGAACATGACAAAATTGTTGATCTGTCGCAATTTATATTTCAAATGTAGTACAGTTGAAATGAGACAATAACCAAGTATTAGGTCCACTGGCAGATTTTTTCACCTATAAAATGAAAAAGGTCTTTAATAAAAGCCTTTTGTTTTTTATATTAAAGAATTATTGACTTAAAACAAGCTTATTTATCTTACTAAAAACTTACTTTGAATTTAGTTTTACCTTATTTCACCTGTACTATGATATTTACACAAGAAAGTACCAAAAATACTTGGTAAGACTTTGTTTTGGGGGTGTAAATTTACACTCACTGACAACACAAGTTGTAGTACCAAAGGTGAATGATTCAGTTTAAAAGGTGATGGTATTAGAGGCACCAGAGGAGCCATAATGTTGCAGATTTTTGCTTTAGCGTCTGGCAGGCGGAGCAGTGAGTGAAGATGCTGCGTTAGACAGAATTACATGGCAGAGTGAGATAGAGGCTGTGATTCTTTAGGCCTGGTGGTCCTATTGTGAAGTTGACCTAAATGTGGGAGATACAGACCTGAAAGACGTTAGCTCATGATGACGTCAGCTGCCCAAGCGTTCTTTTTCCCCTTCTTCTGTCTTTCTCAACCACTGGTGTTCCGCTGGCTCCCCCTAGTGGTCCGCGAGGTACTGCACTTTGCCGTTACGTCATCTCAAAGTGCAGCGCTACAGCTCGCTTACTAACGGGTCGGGTTTAAAAACAATAATGGTTTAATAAATAAGACTGGGTCACTAAAAAGAAAGCCTGAAGATACCGGTGGAAAGTTTCTCGGGGTGAGTTGCAGAGCTTTTCCTGTAAAGCACTTTGTATTGCCTTTTTGCTGAAAATGTGCTATATAAATAAAATTACCTTTACCTTTTGTTTTTGAACACTGTTAGGATATAGATCTAGGTCTGAATGAGATATGACAGAAACGAGGCGGTGAATTGAGCCCACGCTGACTAACTGCATCTACACACCTAAAATAAAATTATTTATGTTGACTATCTACTGCCTGAAAGAAAATGTTTGTTTTTGCCAACAAAATACAAGCCTGTTTTTCTTTTATTTTGATTCTAAATTATAAATGGCTATTTATGCCACCCTGTACTGATTTTAAACCTACAGGTTTATTGTTACTTCCAACCACATCAAAGCAGAAATATCTGCGTTTAAATCTTAAAGCGTTCACTAAAGGAATGCCTTGTTACTGCGTTTTAGGCAATAAATTTTTACTTATTTGACAAAGGAATTTAATTATTTGTATTTCTAATATTTCATAAAAGGCTTAAGTGGGTAAATGAAAAATCCGCAGAATGCTCTAGTTTTTTTTATTTCATTAATCATCAGAATAATCAATAAAATAATACATGACAATCGTAACAGACTACAGTTCTAAAACATTGAAGAAAATCGACATAATCGTTCACTTCTGTTTGCTGATTGACCCGGTTGAAATTCAATCAGAGAATTTGAGTTCAATGAGAGAAATCCCAGACGGAGCACTGAAGGTAGATGAAAATCGAGTGGGATGGTGTGGAAAGAGAATGGCTACTGTTCCTGGTTCGGTTTGGAAGCGAGTCTGGTTAATATTTTGAGTTTTTAATCACACATTACCAGCTGCTTCACAGAATCAGCATATGTTGTAGAAAAATCCAGTTTAGATTTGGACAGAGCTGAATTAAATCGGCCAAGATGCCTAAGAAATGTGAGAAAAAGTCCTTCACTACATTACCAACCTGAAATTCAGCTTCAACTTCATGTTGCCAAATGATTTCTGGACCAGGAAGAGCAGGGTAGAAACTAATTACATTTACTTAAAAAATGCACTTTTAGGGATATTTTTATGACGCTGTACTTTTTTTACTGGAGTAATTTTATTATGAAATATTGCTACCATTACTTAAGTAAAATTTCTGGATTCTCTACCTACTGAATAAAAACATGTTTTAACCAAAAACTCACCAAAAACAGACGCACACCTGCAGTTTATGTTACATTTTCATCAGTTTCATATACAAAGAAATTGATTTGGAAACTTTTTTCTGCCTGGTTTTGTTGTTTATATGAATTATTGTCATTTTGGTCCCTAAAATACCAAAGCTTCCACTTAACTTTATGTTTTGGTCTGTCTGATGATGTGATTTTAAATATTAAACGATTGATAATTAGTACTTGAGCAGGCTTTTTACCAAATATGTTTTTACTCTTACTTGAGTTAAAACATAATTTTACAGTTTTTGGGTGCTTTTCCCACCTCAGCATACAGATAATAAAACCCAAATCTGGAAATGTTTTGTACTGAAACTGAAAGTAAAGGAGCAAACAGAACTAATATCCTCTTTTCTATTTTATTGGAGTGAAGTTTGGTTTTAGAAGCAGCAGCGCTGCAGCAGGAACTCATAAATCTCTGAATCAAGCTGAAGTTTTATTACGTATTTTAACTAAGCGAGCTGTTTTAACTGAAGCAGCTGCTCTGTATGTGGGAGCTTTTGTAATTGCTGCTTAGGAGACATGCTGATTTATCTGGAGAGGCTGCCAGACTTTGCCTTTTCTTGTGATTTCTCTTAATTTTCTCACCATAAAGCCACAGAACAGTGTACAGATCAGCTCTCCCTCTCTGACCTTTTATGCAATAAATGCTTCGTCTTTGTGTCACCTTCACAATCCACAACAGCAGCTGGTTATCAGTCAGGCTCCTGCAAGCAGAGCTCACATTTTCAGGATTTCTCCACTTTTAGTCCAATCCTTCAAAGCATTCCTGACATAGTTAGAGAATATCGGACACGGCTCGTGTCAGGTTCTGGTCTGCGCTGCCAATGCGATGACCCGCTGAGAAGCAGCGTGAGCTGGCGTTTTCCCTCGCTGTGCTATTTTAATCCGCCGCTAAAAGCAGGGCGTGTTGTGTTGCCCAACGGAGCCAATAAGTGGACCCGGGGTTGCAGCCCGAGAGGTCGGAGGAAGTGGACCCTTAAAGGAGAAGTGGCGTCTGATGAGCAAAAGCGGAACGGCTTAAAAGAACAGCGACCACACTCAGTCACTTCTCTGAACGCGCAGATGGTGGAAAATGATGCCCAGCTGAATGTGTTTGGGCAGAATTTAGATTTTTTTTTCTTTCTCTGAAAGATGCAGAAAGCAAGGTCTGTGTTTGTGATTCACGAGTTGAAACATGTTGGTTTTCCTTCATAATCGTTAAATAATTAGTCCGCTTTGACTTCCAGCAGCCTCTTGCCATCTGAGCGACAATACTGTCTTAACTTCCCTACATTGCGACACTTTGAAACCACAAACTGAGATTTATGTAGGGCGGTAACAATTCACCAGATTCATCGTGATTATTCGATTATTGAAGTAATCGTCAACTATTTTAAGAATCAATTAATTATTAACCAAAGGCCTAACACATTCAGAGCAGTAAAAGAACTGATTCATCAAACTGAATCATCTGGATCTAAAAACTCTGAACTTCTCTCCTAAAATCCGAACCTTTTTCATGCACCTTCTGCTTTCTTTAGAAATGCTCTTATAAAAACCGTCCACTTATATTCACAGTTGCTCATTGCAGATCTGCAGCTTAAATCATTTGTGGTCCTCTGCACAGCATGCAGAATGG